AAGATATACATTTTAATAATAATGTATTGTATTCGAATTAGAATGAAATGTTTGAAATAAAATCATAACACTACCTAAACAATTACATCTTTCATTATGCAAAACGCCAGTCGTGTTGCAGTTGAAAACCAGAAACGAAATAAAAGTATAATTTTAAAAATTAAACAGAATACTTTGTACAATTGAAATTTAAGCAATGGAATCAAAATTTATTTCAAGAACGAACAATATGGCATCATTAGCGCCTATAACATAAAGCAGATTCAGAAACCACTTTCAAATATTACGCTATCTAAGAAAAGAGCCATGGAGAGAATCATTTAAATTTTTTCATTATTATCACTAGTAAAACCTTCTGCTCAATATTTTTTCCATATACAGAGTAATTAATTAATTTAAAACCATTAACATATGTAGATAATTAAGAGGGTAATTATTTTTGCATAAATTAATTGCAACGATCTCAATTTTATAAATATATTTTTGAAGTCATTACATGACGTGAATATTTTAATTAATTTATACATGATTATTATCCAAAATATGTATATGGCTTTTAAAAGTATATTTTATACTTTTTAATTAATTTACAATGAATTATTCCAATAACTGTCATCACTCACTTGGGATTAAATGAAATACTTTACAAAAAATATATGAACTTTGATTGTTAGTATGTTATATATATATATACATATATACATGTTAAAAAGCATGGGAATCGTTTTGTATCATAACTATATTTTCTGATTATGGATTCAGACGATTAAAATTGAAATAATTTCACAACATAACAAAAATGTTACGCAATAGAAATCAGTGTTAGAAATTGCTAAAGACTTTTAAATGTCATGTATAGAAAAATTACCTCATGGCGATAAACTTAGGAGTCTTAATCTTAATCTAAGTATGTTACTCACTTAATCTAAACAAACTTAATCTTAGTATGTTACTCACTTATTTTGTCTTCTAATGGCTAAGGTCAATTGATGTTCAGAAAAAAGAAGCGAGTCCCATTCCCTTACAAATTTATAAACCATTGCAGCCGGTCTATAAACTATACTTAATTATTTCATCAACTCTGCTTATTCAATGAGACGCAGCCAAAATATCTTTTTATCTCCTACAAGAGACTTGCAATCGAGCCAGACTAGTTCTGCAGCCCACAGCTAGGTTTTATCACCGTGAAACGAGAATGCTGAGTTTTATCTAATAAAATTAACATTCAGTACTAACGGTCGCCAAAGGCCTAATTAGGTTAACATATTACTGTCGTTCCTATGACATTTTTCTAATTTCTTTAAGTAAATGAATATGTTTCTAACTTTACCTTAACTATATCAGCCCTATCTAAGGAGAATTCATAAAGTAATTTTATTTTTCAAAATTAAAAGTAATAATGAATATAAGGGAAGGAGTGATAACATTTTATTATCATGGTTTTGGCTTTGCTGACTTTGTTGACTAGATCAATAATAATAGTACAGTGAAATAAAGTATCGTCTATGTTTTTGTTCGTCCTCTTTTGTATCCATAATAACAACTGAGTTTCTTGCTCATAACCACTCAGATCCGAGATACATTTGATCCTATTTAACCTTAACATGACCTTGGCGTTTCAAAATATAAATATCAATGTATGTGCATCAATAATGATGTATTTTTATTACGTAGTTTTAACTTAATTTAAGAAAATTTTATGTAATTTAAAAGAATATGCGCCGTATATAATCAATTGCAACATGGTAATTGATACGCCAGACGGCCGTTATTTGAATATTATATTTTTACAGTACTTAAAACGATGAAAATTGTGCAGATGAAATAATTTTATACCAATAACTATATTTTATTGAATATAAAACAGTAACGTTATATTTAATAGGTTCTGGGAGTGACGATAATATGCTGAAGCTGGATTAACAATTACTCTATAGGGCCATGTGCTCTCAACGATACTTATGAAACCAATATTATGGTCATCTTTCGAACCGATTTATCCAAACTCAATTTATTCAAAGTCATTTTTAAGTATGATTTAAATAATAAAAGTGCATGACATCAATTAATATTACTTGAATATTTCCTCCTGTTTGACAACAGTTAGTATGTGCCACTAACTTTAATTCAGATAGTTAAATATGCTTTATATTGTCAGATGATATACAGATTCCGGTACCCTTTCAATGTGCAACTGTACTTAATTATGAAACATCCGTTCTCATCTGGATTTAAAGCATAGCAATCCGCATGCGTAAACCATTCTCTCCTATCAGAAAATTCAGTTTCAAGGGAGATCCCGCGAGCGACGAACTATACGTCGGAATAAAATGACTCGCAACGGTTAACATTACGTCTAAAACAGATCGTATAAAGTGTGTCTATCGTGAAATTGTGTAATAAAATACATTAAATTTTTGACGAAAAAATTCGTAAAAGTTTTTGAAAGTTTAATGAGTTTAATACTGCTGGAATAAAAAGTATTTATTATAAAATACATCTCATCTTGTTAATTATATTTGAAAATAAATTCCGCGTAGACCTAATTTGATAAAAGTCGGAATAAGAGACGAGAGGATAAACAACAATCGTAAAATTTTATTGCGATTTAGGGACCTCGTTGTCTTTTACATTGGGTCATGTGACTCTCATAAATATTCACTCTTTGGAATGTTAAAGCTTTATGTGGAAAATGTTGTTTTTTCTACATGATTCGGTACACTGGTTTGATTTCTAAATCACTTGTAAAGTATATATTTATATAATTATGTGTTTTTAACTGAAAATGTTTTTTATAAAAGATGGTTATTTTCTGTCGTTTTAAGATTATTTTACTTATTAGTAAAATAATCCTTAATAACTTTTCTTTCTTGTGATATTTGATTTGTTTTGTTTTCGTAAAATTTCTTGGTGGGTTTTTTATTACTTGTATAGAGTAATAAATAGATCATAAATCTGATTGACTATACATATGTATATACGTGTAGTAATGGTTATTGTATGAGCTAAAACAATTTTATAATTTAGCGGATTTTATCCAAGTAATATGCTTGTTTTATATATATAAGACGAAACAATTTTCAAGATATCTATAACCTTCCATTTTTATTAATGAATTGTAAGTGAATGCGATGAATCGATAAAAATATAAAAATAAACGAACAAAAAATTATAGTTTAGGAGATTATTAAAATTATATTTTTATAACTAGAAATATTTTAGATAGATAGATGAAAAATCACAGTTAAATTCAAAACAAATTATTATTTTTATATGATTCAGGCCATAAGTAATCTTTAAATTAATTAAAATTCAAAATTATTCTAGTTTCGATTTTCATACAAAAACTTTAATCAGTGAGAACGTCCTTTTGCTCGTTTGAAGATACGTTAATGAATATTATTCCCTTAGATCATAATTAATTATTTTTATTTTGGTATCAATTAAAATTAATTACTAACTAATATGATTTAATTATAACATGTAATCCGAAACGAAAAGTCCTATATATTAAACACAGGTAATTATTTGGTTGACATTTCAAATGGCTGAAAGAAAAAAGATAGTCTCTTACTGATATTTGTTTGTATTTATAATTTTAAAACCTACTGTCAACTTGGATGTGACAACTCGAAACCAAAAATCCGATGGTAATTGATAACATAGTACAAGTCAGGAGTGTCAGCTTTCATCACGTGTTAGTGGAATGTGGCTGATATAATTTATTACAAAGGAAGGTGTTGACTGAAGAGAATGTAAAGATAACAACTACAGGACCTTCTTTTCATGATGTTTTGTCAACAAGCGACTCAAAAAAAATATTTTTTTGGTTCTGTAGTCATTAACGTTAGTTTTACAATAAAAAGGTTAGGGTGTGTCTGGTTTATGCGAAATTATAAGTCCTCCGATAATATTACGTAAAAAATAGTAAGCCTTTGAGAATTTCGTCGTCGTCGAGTTAATTTTTTTTAAATCGTCATAAAAACCTAAAATGATAACACTCTTTTTACAAAAATAATGTTATTAAGGGTGGTTTTTTAGATGACTCTCTTGAGTAGTTATTTCCAGTGTGGCGAAGTAATATTTATGTTTATAAGGATAAATTATGAGGCTTTTTCCATAGGTCAGATTGAGCTTGAGCTATGGAATGGAAAGGCAGCCCTTAGCAATCTAGGGCAATCATTAGTCAGCTAGCGTTTTGCATTTCTATTAAATGTAAAATAAAAAGTTAGTTAAATTATAATTAATTTGGTGAAATATTTTATGTTTCGTAAATTTTCTAATATCTTTAGTATATTTTCTAATATTACAATAAGACTTTCGATGAGTGGAGTACATTTGAAACAAATCTTTAGGAATTATAGTGTCGTTAAACCTTCCACTAGCTTATGCTTTGTTTCAAGAATATTGCTTATACATATTTTTAATAACTCTTATACATAGAGTAAGTTTGATATATAGCATTCATTGAACTTTTCACAATAATTTGCATCATTCATACTTTGAGGAATTTGTTATTCTTCGTAAGCTATATAAAAGTCTGGATATTTTGGCTGTAGAATAAACAATGTGATAAATTTGGAAGAAATACCCTGTTTCTAACTTTTATTTTTACGTTAGCTAGTTTCGTTAGCTATATATAACATGTTGCAATCAAAGTTTCATGATTCAAGGAAACACGAGAAGATAATACGTTAGTTGTGGATAATTTCGTAAAATTTGGTGTGTGCTTAAATTATCATAAAATTACTATGACTAACCCCCAATTATTATTTAATTTGTTTGGAAATTATTATCATTTTATTACTCTACAGATTTAACTTGGAGATAACTTTTGCATACATTTATTCTATATTAATCTTAATATGAAAAACTGAGATATCACTGACTGTCTAACATAAACTTTAAATTTACGTCTATTACAAACCATAAACTGTAATGAAAAACAATTGATTGATAAGCTAAATATTAGCAAAGTGTTAGTGAAATGTGATGGTGGTATGCACAGTATGAGCAGGTGGATGGCGCTATTCGGGCTAGTGTGGTTGCTGCGAGTTCGTGGATCACTCTGTGGGTGTACTGCTTGCAAAAGAGCAAGACTGGATACTGACGCAAGATGTAGGACATCGAGTGTACAATATCCAAGTGAACAGGTACCTGGGATTGAGCAAACATCGTTGGACGAACGAGCGCCGTTTGATGTTATCGCTCTGCAACAATATACCCGTGATGTCACCGTTCAAACAGATTTCGATGATGAAATTGAAGACTTGGAAAAAATCGATATTAAAATTAACGAAGAGGGTAAGTAAAGATAGGAGATGAAATAATATTTTTTTAAAATTAATAGTTTATATTTCCTGAGCGTGTTGGATACTATTTTTGATGTATTAGACTCCAAGGTGATTAACTTTTAACGCGACCTTTAGTGCCAATTAATTTACTACTTGGATTGTCAGTAGCTAAACTTATATTTTGTCGTATACGTCGTAAAGTAATGTAAATAAGGTAACTTATAACAATTTCATTAAATTTAAATATAATGAGTTTCATATGTTCATGAAATATAATCACTTAAAATAACTATACGTGATACTTTCCTTTGTTGAAACTAATTTGAACAAAGTTTTATTAACATAATTTTAAAACATTTTCCGCTGTTAATTAAAATTTTCAACTTTTATTCAATCTTCATTAATTTAAAACTCTTTTATATTTAGTTATTTAAAATACTAATATTATAAAATATATTATATTATATTATTTATTTATTAATAAATATATAATATATAAAGAGAAGTATATTAAATTTTATTTAATAGATCAAGAACTATTTCATAGTTCAACAATCATTTCTTCAAATTGAGTATAAAAGTGCTGTATAATGTTTTTGAAAGACTTGCTTTGAATCAACGTAAAATAGAATTTTTACTGAAAAATTTTCTTTGTGTTTAAAATCATATTTCGATAGAGAAATCTTCGAAACTGGTAAACTGAAAAACAGGGAAAAATAGTTACAGTAAAAGTGTAACAGGGTTATATTACCTGTGTGTAATTTAAAATGTGAGGAAATAAGCATTCAGAATTCCGACTTCGGAATGTAAATTTTAAATTATATTTTAAAAGAAATATCCGAGCACAAAAATAAAGGTCTTTTACTCGATAGGAATGGTATACAATTTTTCAATTGACGTTAAACAATTTTATAGTGAACAAGAAAGTTAAGATTCTGAAACCAAAAGTAACTTCTAGTCTAATATAAATCAATTAGATGTTGATTGTTTCAATTATAGTTCAAGAGCTCTAAACGAAGTCTTAGAAACTGCTTCACTGAACATTAAAGCAAATTAAAAGATATTATGGTAATTAAAACAAGATAAAAGTTTTGTGGTTTAGGTAATAATCATTTTTATTACTAAGAGTCCTTAACGTCTACGCAGGAGATATGAAAATGAGATCGTGGGTTGTAGTGGTTATCTTTGTTTAATTTTTATTGATTATTTTCAATTATTTTTCTCCGTATATCGAGAAAACCGTACTTTAATTTGAGTTCATTAGGTATGTTAGCAGTCAGTTGTCAATAACTAGCCTCAAAACAATTTTACTTCCATTGTTACTGTGCGAGACAATCACTTTTATTAAGAAAATAAAAATAGCTATCATACTTAGTATATATTTCTCAGCAATAATTAATTAAAAGCTCAGGAAAATTGCATAAAAGATAGTGAGAACACTAGAAGTAGGTCAAGTGCAGGTTCCATCTTACTTCACTGCATAACGTTAAAGTAACATTTATATTTCTTTATATAGTGTTCGTTTTAGTTAACAATAGATCCATTAATAACTTTCAAGTTTATGCTTATTTTATAAAAACAACGAATATATATTTTAGTACAATTCATACAAACGAAAACGTATAGAAAAAATACAATGCATGGCAGTCTACCAGATGCTTTATGACGAAAAAACACAAAGATGTCACCAACATCTGCGGTCTGGTATCGCATTGCAGTTATAAAATATAGGAAGTGATAAACCGATCTCCCGCTTTGCATCAACATTTCTGTCAAAGGAAATATTTTTAAAGTACAATCTGCACGACTATCCGCAATTTTTCAACCGTGTGTAAGCTGATGACATGTAGTCAGAATTATTGATACAGTATATGACACTTTACAATTGTTAACACTTATTGCTAACATATTTTAAAGTTATAATCTCCAATACATGCAATTGTATGAAGGTTTATTTATATGAATTATTACATTTTCGTAAAAGATTCTAGATTTTGCATGTTGCATTTAACCAAGACACAAGGTAAAGATTTCGGGAATACCGCTGTGTAAGCCAAAAAATAGTCTAAAAAACAAGTCTATTAATTTATTCTTTGTGGTTTAACTGTTTAATTTTTCAATATACCTTTGTATATTTTCATATGTTGCTATATATGCTCAGAAATATTATTTAAGATGAACATTATTGTATAGAAACATTAAATATATTTCGGTTATTCCTATTTATTACAAGCTTTGCCTCTTTCAACATTGTCTATTAGTGTTTTACGGCAAAGGTTACTATGAAAAACCAGTTATTCGTATGTAATAAAAGATTTCTTATCAAAAAATAATAATTCACAGTCAAAACCAATAAATCGCCAAATTGGATTGCATTTAAATAATAGCTTTAATTAATGTTTTTTCCCTCCATGCAACGTGTCCACGCATGTTTGATCGCTTTTATTAATGCAAGTATTATTTTACGACACAGTAAATTTCTTACGTTCATTTTTAATTTATCAAAGTAACATTATGAAATTATTTCATTTTATATCCGTATTTTTATTCTCAGAGAGATATATTTTCTATTGTCGTTTAAGAGCCTTGTATTTAACAATTTAATTTTAGTAACGAGAATACAAAATTACATTCAATATCTACATATATATAAATAAAATCTAAGTAGAGAGATCTAAAGTTAAGAATTACATAGTAAATAATAAAAAGGACTTAGAACTTTAAAGGACTTAGAACTTGTAACGTATCCAAGTATAGTATTATAAAATTTTACTTCCTCAGATTCCATTGTTTTATTTTATATTTAGTTCTTGTAAATAAATAATTATAGGTAAAGCTTGTTTCTTCTGTTAAATGTTTACATTTCAATCTGTTTTACTAACAAATATTTTTATATTAATGAATTTTCAATTGTATTTTAGTGGAAACTTTTTTATATGCATCTAAAATAAAACTTGATTATTTAAGGATAAGAAAGCAGAAGTCTGCTTTTGGCGGAAAATAGTTAAACAAACTTTTTAGAAACTTATTTATGACTGAGATGCATTTAATAAAATTTATTTAAGTCTCTTTTTTGTATATAAAATTATTAGTTTTAAAAATATGTACTGCTTATTTTTTGCCGGATTGTTCCACTAAGTTAGTGATAATTTAAGAATATATGTGACAAACTCAAATTATATTATCTTTGATTTTTATTTTAACAATTTACATCGATTAAATTTAACTAAGATTATTCGAATTACTACGAGACATCTGCTCTGCCCGAAAAGTAACCAAAACGTCGGGAGTATGTGGCCTTTAAAGACAATAAAATACGCGTAATATTCTGAATAATCATCATCATCATCATCATCAGCCTGTTAGACGCCCACTGCTGAGCAAAGGCCTCTTTCCCACAAGGAGAAGGTTTGAGCAATAATCACCACGCTTGCTCAAGACGGGTTGGTGATTTGAAACTTATAATTGTGAAACTATAAGTCCAGGTTTCCTCACGATATTTTCCTTCACCGTATGTCAGTGGTGTCTAAATACTCTCAGAAAGTACTTATGACTCCGAAAAATCACATTGGTACTTGCCAGGTTTGAACCCGCGCCATCGGCAAAGAGAGGCGAGCCCCTTAACCACTAGGCCACCACTGACTTATTTTATTCTGAATTATAATTTCCTTTAAATTAATATTCACGAAAATCTTGGATTTTCTTAATTACATCGATACTCCATGGAAACAATGAAAAAACTTATACAATATAATAAATATAAATGTACTAGAGTGACTTAAAAATCCATTGGATTTCTTATTGAAAAATAAATTTAAAAAATATATGTGAAAAAATAATTCCTATAAGAAATTATTACATAGTTAAATGAAAATACTAAACATTTCTCAAAAGACTTTTCGTGAAAACTCATTGCTTTGTCTATAAAAATCTGCTGTCGCCGTACGTCCATACAAATAGCTCTCCGGCCCTATAATTTACTTTTTAGCATTCAAACGACGTTGAGTTAAATGTTTGAATTAAAATTCATCGCTTAGTTTATAATTTGAAAATATAAATATGTGTGTGATTTATCAAGCAACTTACGGTTTTATTTACTTGATTATACTAAGACTTGACTTAAACAATTTTATTCATCTCTACTGCTTCTCTACTGTGATAACTTTTAAACAGACAGACAAAGAGCTTGGACAAAGTTTTTAATAATGACTCCTTTGTTGCCGGCTGAGGTACAAAACCTAAAATAACATATTTCATACTTACTATTGACTAGAACGCCAACAGTATTTCATATCAAAAGAATACTATGTAGGTAGAAAGTTATCAGTCATATGTTATATATATACTCGAGAAATAATTTCTTATCATATCTTTTCCTTGTCATCTCGTTTATTAAATATAAATATTTTGACGAAGGTATCACATGTAAAAATTAATTATTTAAGATGTTCGTCAAAACGGAACCTGAATTTCCACTAAAAAATCGATAGTCAGATTACAAATTCAGTAATAAATACAATAAATACACAATAACTTGTAAGAATTTTTATGCAGAATAAAAAAAACATATGCGTGTACGTTCCAAGTACGTAACGTTCTTTGATAACGTTATGTTAATAAAAATATGTATTTTGTATTTCAAGAAGATGATATACATATATTTTTTTATATTATTATAATATTCCAGTATTTTATTAAAAGGCCCGCCTCTCATGCATGAGGGCGCGGGTTCGATCCTGGCAAGTACCAATGTAATTTTTTCGAGTCATGTGTACTTTCTAAGAGTATTTAGACATCACTGATTAATGCATTCCCAAAGAGGGTTGATGTCAGGCAGGCGACCGGTCGTAAAAACAAATAGCCAAAACTATTCACAGCATGTAAGGCAGACCCTGGCTAAAAAGCTGGGAATGTGCCAGGTAGAAGAAGAATATACCGGTATTGTACATATATTCTATCTCAAAAGAAAATAAAACAGAGCAAAGATTAAAAATCAACACAGGCGATGAT